GTTATTCTCCCACACAAATACATTTTCAAGCCCTTTCGTTTTGAGGGAAGTTCTAAATTAGTGTTATCTTTCAAATGCCTTTGGAAATTAACATTTTCATTTTGTTTAGCCTGACAATGGAATATAGTACCTCTAAATCCTGTACATTCATAATTTTAGGATGGAACTCGATCTAATAAAGAATTGGCTGTGGTGAAAAGGGGAAGTTCATTATTCTGTACAGTGACATAATTTTGTTTTGGTGTACAGTTCTCAATGTGATGCTAGCATTCATATGCATAAAACAGTTCATTTTGCTGTGTTATAATGAATTATTACGTTTGATAGTAGTTATATGTATAAATAGACATGGATAATTACTTAGTATCTAATTAGCTCCTAATAGTTGAGTCATTTTTGACTCAGGTTTGATTAATGAATGGATCCTTCATGAATAATTATCATTTATTAAATGCTCCTTCGAATAATTCCGTGTTTGATTAACCTTGTTCCTCTTTGATTTGATTTGATCAACGACAATGCTAAACACGCCTAGAGTCAGGATAATACCAGAGAATGACGCCACCAATGTTTTGCGCCAGGCCTGTTTTTCTCTTTCTCCGGTGGAGCAGAAGAAGCTCAAACCAATAACCCATATCTAAGCCTGTGAAACCCATTTAATTGATTTTGATTTATTATTAATTGTTGACATCAATCTCATTTGATGGGATAAATTTCTCCCTCGTAAAGTCCAATTAATCTCAATACAATGTCGGGAAGATGAATAAGTTATAATATTGTCAATAACATCATTTCAAGCTTATTCACAATTATGGCGTTTTCGTCAAATTGCTTTGTTGGATACGTTCTTTCCTCTCAGATCAACCACAATGTGTCTTGTTTGAAGGGGTAAAATCGGATTGGAACAAGTTCATTCCGGTGTGCCACAGGGTTCCATTTATTGACAAATCTTCTTTAATTATTTTCAACCGACTTACCTGACACTGTCTCACCCCCCCCCCACGATATGCTGATTACACAGTTTTGTATCGTGAAGTTTATACCGACAACGACTCTCATTTGTTGTTAACTGACTTGAGTAACAGGGGCGTAGACAACGGGGGGGATGAGGGGGATGCATCCCCCCCACCTCACAAGGTGGGGGGGATGGCATGTACAATCATCCCCCCCCCAGGTTTTGGGGAATGATATTTGCTTACTTAATAAGTCATAATGATGATAATAATAGTAGTGATAATAATGATAACAATTATAATATTAATAATAATAATAATTATGATGATGATAATAATAATCCTCATCATTATTGTAATTGTGTTTATTGTTATTAGCCGCATTCACACGGTGAAAGCCAATTCAGACGGTAAAAAAAAGAAAATCTTACAAGTATTTTGTGGTTATCTTGTGGTTTGGAAACCACAAGATAACCACAAGATTAAACAGGCGCGGATCTACGGGGGGGGGGGGGGGGGTGGGGTTAGGGGGTTTAAACCCCCCCCCCTTGGGCGGCCCAAAAAACAAACAAACAAAAAAGGGGAAAAAAAGAAGAAAAACAAAAGAAAGAAAAAAGAACGCACGCTGGAGAGAAACCCTTTCAAGTGCAAATATTGTGAGAAGATATTCAACTCATCTGGTAACTTAACCAAACACATGATAACTCTGGATATAACTGTGTATTTAACTGTTACTTGATTTAAAAAGACGTTATCATGCACTGCTTTTTATGGTCTCCATTGTGTTAATAGATGGCAGGAAAACATCACTTACGGGGTTCAAATAAACACCCCCAAAAAAATCGGCTCGCCGCTTCGCGGCTCGTGGACGATGCTCCGCATCGTCATTATTTTGGTCAACCCCCCCCCCCTTAGCAAAAAGCTAGGTCCGCCCCTCAGTCATCCCCCCCAGGTGTACGAACCTGTCTACGCCACTGTTGAGTAATATAATATGTGATGTATGGCATGGTCTTGAAATCATCTAAGTGTAAAGTAATGCACATAACTAGATCCCGTAAATTAATTACTACTGTTTACTCCATTGACGGAAATCCTTTAGATGTAATTAAGTCCTATAAATATCTAGGACTCACTTTTCCGCGAGATCTGAGTTGGAAGAACCATATTCGATGTGTTGTTAACAGATGTTCTTTGCTCTCTGGGTTTATCAGACGTACCGTAAAATCTAGAAACTTAGCTATTCTCACAAAACTCTTTTGTTTATTATGTCGACCTGTGATTGAGTAGGGCATACCAACATGTTCCCTCATCAAAAGAACCATATCGGAGCTATCGAAATTGTTCAAATGCGTTTTAACCGATTCTGTTTCCCTTACGAAGTTGCTAATTCCGTATCTTACACGGAACGCATACAGACTTGTGTACTTATCAATGTCATTTGTAATTAAGTGCTTAGAGAGACTTTATGACATGCCTGAATATATGCTACCAGTCCCAAGTCATAGAAGAACCCATACACTTGTTTTCAATCATGAATTAGCAAGATGCAATAGCTTGATATTTTCTTGTTTTTATATTTTCCCCAGATGTTGGGAGCACCTCTCAGAGGAGGACAGAGACTTGTGTCTTGGTACCAATGTCTTTCCTTTTCCGAATGTGCTCCGAAATTTCATCTTTGAATTGCCTCCCCTTGTAGAAGCAAAATAGTTTGAGTTCACACTTTTTTCTCTATCATGTAGAATAACTCACACTTCGTAATGCGTATGTTGTTTTATTGAGTTCGTATTCAATGTACGTTCTCGCTCTCTATCAAAGTGTTCTATCACATCCTTCTTACTTTTATTCCTATGTCTTTCAATTTTTTCTAGGAATCGATAATAATGATCACAAAGTTTGATAACTTCTAATCATATCGATAATAATGTTCCACAATTTTGATAACTTCCAATCATATTAATAATAATTGTTCGTAATTTTGATAACTTCCATGTATGTTAACAATGATGTTATACTGTGTTGCTAACTTCTAATATTACCGTATCCATATGACTGTATAAACAGACAATTTTCTGCATATAGCATGCATTTGTCATACATGCATAGTTTGAACAGGTCTTTTTCAATCCTTTTTTTTTAAAAATAACCTTACAGTAGTCAATCTACATTTGTATTACCCTATATTAACACACATTTTTCTGTATTTGTATGTATCATATACCAAATTTAGTCTGAATAGATAATTATTGTATTAACAAATAGTATTAGCTTCTGCTCTCCCTCTCATTTGCCTAATATGAGGGTTAATTTTAGTTTCACATTCATGTATAGTATATATCTTATCTTTATGTTTTGTTTTATGTATGCACCAGCCGATGTGGAGAGCCTCTCGGCCGAATTTTTAAATTACTTTAGGTGATCCCCAGGCATTGGCTGGTGCTAAATATTATACTGTTAATGTAATATCATTTTGTCAACCCTGTGATGATTTCTATGTAACGTTATCATCATCCCTAGAAATAAAAATTAAAAAATTAAAATCTTTTACCGTGTTCAAATGTTCTCTAGTATAGTTTCTTTATATTAAAAAAAAAAAAATTAGAAGGAAAACAAAAATCATTTTAGATAATTTCGCACGAATCTATAAATTTGCCTTTAAATTATTGATGGAAAAGTTATAAATGCCCTTAAACTAAATGTAGTATGTTCTGTAGGTGCACTGACGAGAAGAAATTTTGAATGATGTGTGGACATGAACAAATATGTGTATGATAAATTGCAAGCGACAATGAAAAACGCGTGTGGTTTGCTTTGTTATCATTTTTTCTCTTGCAGTGTGTTTCTTCTCGTGTTAACGCACAAAGGATTGCTAGCATTCAAGCAACAAAGGATTCCCACCCAGATGTCTATATTATCGGTTGATTGGGTGTTTTTCACTATTCAACGTGTGAAGATGGGCTCCGTTATTATATTCGTCCCATATATCAGATAGTCTGTAACTCTATTCTGACCAAGGGGCATTTTGCCCCCCGCCCCCCAACTGCCGCGAACTGCCTACTAAAGATCGCGACTTGAAGAACGAAAGTAAATTGTAATGGGTAAAATGGGGAGGGGGGAATTTTTCGATACAGACTCCTGGGCCCCGTCTTACAAAGAGTTACGAATGATCCGAATCCATCGCAAGTCCTCCAATCAATGTCTCCTATCTCTTATGTACATAGTTGCGATTGATATCAACTTTTTATAAGATAGGGCCCGGGTCTCCATACTGTTTTTGTACACATTTTGTAAAGTACCTTTAACAAATGTCTCAAATTTGGTATTTTCCTCATTTGTTTCTTTTTTTATTTAGAAAGTGGTTATAGTAAGTATGTATACGCTGTAAACCTAGCCTATGGCTCCTAGTGCATTATTTTGTTGTATGCACACTGTATTGTTGATTGACACTGGAAGAATCATGATGTGACAGTCCTTTACTCTATCGAATATAGTAGCGAAAGAAAATAAAATGACTTGCTCTATTACCTAGAATTCTACTAAAATGCATCTCTAAAACAATATATCCACAACTGAAAAACTAAATCAGCCCCCTCTATATAAAAAATGATGAATACCGCCCATTAGTTCAAAGGTGCTTTATACGCTGCGCGCGCTGTCTGTGGGAAAGCACAGACTGCATTATATTCACAGACGAACTACTAAAGTGTAAGTGTAGCATTGTAATCACAAGAGTATTGGTGTATACACTTGCATAGAGACTCAGTACTTTTGATCATAGTTATTCGCAATTCTTTCGACTCATAATATTTTTGTTATCAACGTGAGAAATTTGTACAGAACTGCATGCAGTTATAGGATGCACTTGTAGACTCAGGATATTGGTACAATCTCCTTCGTCACTGAATATAGGTTGTGTTCCTATGTCCTTGCATGAACTGACTGTTGACTTCTAGTACACATTAGCTGATCACACTTTTAAGTTTTATCTGACAATATATGCGTACAATAAGCTCGTGGTTATAATAAGCCAAAGATCCGATATTTGTAGAAATGACTGAGAAGGCAGGGAATGAGAAAGCTCCGAGCTCTTTAGAGAACCTGACGTGTCCACTATGTCTTGATATCTTCGACGAAGCAACCATCCTGACTTCATGCGGACACACCTTCTGTCGGAAATGTCTCGAGAACTATGACCTGTCCCACCAGGATCTCGATCACATGATATGTCCTCTCTGCAGGAAGATCACCGAGTTGTCTGTGAACCGTGTCGATGATTTCCTCACCAATGTGACTGTCAACGGACTTGTAGACAATTACCACGCCAAGTGTGGAGGGATGAACGCTGTCCTTGAAATGCGTCCACAATGCACTGCTTGCAAGTTTCATCAAGATGCTGTCTCATTCTGCAGAACGTGTAATAACTACATGTGCACTAATTGCGACTTCGGCCATAAGCAGCTGACATCATTCTTTGAAGGTCATGAGATTGTATCCTTACAGGATATCATCGACGGGAAGGTCAGCATTGGACGCCTGCCTGAGAAGTGCTGCATCCACAAACAAGAGAACAAAGATATGTTTTGTGGGGATTGTAAGGTCCACGTCTGTCTCAAGTGCGTGATAGTCGGTCATCAAAATCACAACATCAAGAATCAGGCTGACTTCGAGCAAGAGTTACGGCTAAAGGTAAATGTGGTTTCATTTGATAAAAATAAAGTAACATACTTGTAAGTTGTACACTTAAGACAAGTACCAGAGCACACGAAGCTGGGGGGGGGGGGAAGGAAGATGATGCCCCTGCAATGGTTCAAATGGGGACAAAATTGATTCCAACCCCTTACCACCGGCCCCTCGTAAGAAAATTGGTTTTAATTCCTTTGCATTTCGATAAGCATTCAAGTACGCTGAAATGTAAATTTTCAGCATGCTAAAATCATTATTTTCCCCACTCGGTCGCTACGTTTCATCGAATATTAATAGACCCTGTGTTTATTATGTTTGTAAACCTTGTCTACAATATATACCGCATAAACACCGCAAGCATGGGAGAAGATATTTCTTTGTATCAAATGGTGGGACAAAATGATACCCCTCTCCCCTGAATATAACATAAATCCTCTAAAATGTACAGTTTAACCATTTTAAAACCTAAATTTGATCAGTAATTGGTCGCTACCCTCCCTTACAAAATATAGACAGAAGTGTAGAAATCATGTCTCCAAGACGTACAACAAGAGAGGGGCATATTATTACCTGCTTCTGGGATGGAGCAATCCACCCCTGGCAAAAAAAGAGTAAAGTAAAACAAATTTAGTGCTCATAACCCCCCCCCCCCCCCCCCGCTTATGCGCCACTATATATTTTCTTACGATATGGGACCCCCTCGCCGCCAGTTGGATCCGCTCGTGGGAAGGGGGTGCTATTTGAAGGTAGTAAACGTAGCTACATTTTATAGCTATTTATTAGTAAACCAAAATAGAGAGGTCCACCCCCCCCCCCACAATGTTGGAACGGTCCAAAGGGGTTCATGGTATCATCATCTCAATTTAAATTCAGTTCAGCTCAGTTCATTATGTCAACCATTTAAAATCAAATATACAAAGCATGTAATATTTGTAAGATTACAAAATAAAAAGTGGAGCACTCAATACTATATTTCTTTCTTCTCTCCCTCTTTTTCTGCTTCTCTCAATCTCTCTGTCTCTTCGTTACCTCCTCTGTGTCGTGGTTTACGATTTATAGGGGTAAAAGTGGCACGTGCCTAGATTAAACATATGTAGATAAATTCGTAGCTACGCCTTTTTTCTGCACTGAAAAACAATATCCATAAAAAAAAAATCATTTAGATAAATCTAAGGAATCAGTAAAAGTTCATTATTTTGTATTTGTGCAAAAGGGCCGTATAGCAATTGCAATTTTTTGTAAATAATGTATTAAATTTTCTATTCTGTTTATATGATATAATTGCTTTAATACAAATGGACTTATTACAAGAGCTAGATTCCCTTTTAAGAAAGCAGAAACAAATGTATTCAGTTCCTCTGTCCTCGTATGATTTATGATAAATTGGAAGGGTGGTCCTGAAACTTCAGGCGCGTGCTAAATCCGTGTTTCATTTTCAAACCATCTCCATGTAATTAGCATACATCTTAGTTAGAAAATGTTCTTTTCACTTCTCCATTTGTTTATGTTTAGGTGAACGACCTTGTCCAGCGATGTGCCGCTAAGAAGACTGAACTGGAGAAGAACATTCAGAATGTTGAAGTACAACGCCATGAAGTATACACTGCCGTGCAGAAACTACTGGACGATGTCAGTCAAGCCTACAGCATCAAGGCCAAAGAGCTTGAAGAAAATCATCAAAATCTCATCGAGCAAATCAATGTACTAAAGCGGAGTTTCAATGAAGACCTCAACGTCTTGAAATCCAACGATCGACATAAGATCAAGAGTATTTATAGTTCAATAACACTGGTATCTAATGACAGAATGGGTTATCTTGAGACGGACAGTCTGTCCGCTCATACCTTACTCTGTGAGGAGCTAGATGCCATGCTGAAGGAGGCTACTAATCACACTTCAGCGACAGCCATTACGAAGAAAGCACAGGAGAAGAGGTTTAAGCCTGCAGACGATACTCGTCTTGAACTCGGGAGCATTTCAGAATCAGCTACTGATCTCACTTCTGCGGCAGCCATTACGATGAAAGCACAGAAGAAGACCTTCAAATCTGCAGATGATACTCTTCTTGACCTCGGGAGCATCTCAGAATCAGATCCCAAGTTACAAGTCATTCAGTGTGTAGATCTACGGGGATGGATGTCTGGTATGACCTTGAACTCTGAGAACAGTGTAGCTATCGGTTATTGTTTGGAGACATATGGTATAGATATCATTGATTCAGCTGGTAAACAGGAGCAGTATGCAGACATGCCAAGTAACATGGTATGCTATGATCTTGTGTTTCAACAAGACAGGTCGTTATGCATAGCGCCGAGTTTCAGAGAAGTACACATATATTCTCCCAATGGATCCAGGAAATCAACCATCCCCATGATAGACAATGGCTTTCTCACACTAAACAGAAGTTTATCAGATGAAATCCTCATCGCTAACAATGAGAAGAAAGTTTATATCTATTCCCCGACGGGATCCACACCCAAACATATTGTTCCAACAAAACACAACGTGACGGGTCAGGTATCTGCCACCAGGTCGGGTTTGGTCGTCACGAGTTCATGTAACACCAATCCAAGCGTGGTGACGGTCTATGACAGGGAAGGGAATGCTGGTAATTCTCTACAAGCTCCAAACGATGTCTACCTGTATGCTGCTGTGGATGAGCAGGACAGGGTGTATGTAGCGAGTGTTGATGGTAAGAATGGTAACGTGGTAATCAGGCTCTATGACATTGATGGTCTGAACCTGAAGGAGAGAGTTCAGTTCAATGTACTTAATCTGACGCTTGATTATGAATGGTGTTACTTGGTTTCCCTCTCTCCAGACACGCTCGCGTTTGCTAGTTACGATAAGTTGTGTTTTATCAAAGTATCACTGTAATCCATCTCACATTCTATATCGTCGGCCTTATGCCAAAAGGGCCTTAACAGCTTTTGGCCATTCCGGGATGATCGCGTATTTTTGTGGTCGTTTTTTTGTTTTTTGAAGTCAATTTCGATAAATGTGTTAAGTATTAAATAAAGTTTTACATGAAATGTGTTCATTTTTTTTTTGATATTCAGAAGTTTTCATGCTATGTGCAAAAACATGTTAAGGTCTTTTTGGCATATGGCTTGAATGTATCTGCCACTAGGTCGGGTTTGATCGTCACGAGTTCATGTGTCACCAGTCCAAGCCTGGTGATGGTCTATGACAGGAAAGGGAAAGCTGGTAAGTCTCTACAAACTTTAGACGATGTCTACCTGTATGCTGCCCTGGATGAGCAAGGCAGTGTGTTGTAGCGAGTGTTGATCTTAGAAACGTGGCAATCAGGCTCTATGACCTTGATGGTCTAAATCTGAAGGAAAGAATTGAGTTCAATGTACTTAATCTGACGCTTAACTGTGCTTGATGTTACTTGGTTTCCCTCTCTCCTCACATGCTCGTGTTAGCTTGTGACAAGAAGTCGTATTTTATTTAAGTATCACTGTAATCCGCCTCACACTCTCTATCACCATTATTGATGGTGTGTATACCTCTCTGTTCCAACTCTTCTCTCATATCGGCTTATAATGTGTCATATTCTATTGTTTGTTATGTGATAACTAACCTAATGAGAAGATGCCTATTCTCTTTCGAGAGATTTTAATTGCCTGAACACCGTTATCATTATCCAATATAATTATAACTTCTTTCTCGTGAAATAGTTCGTAAATTGTGTAATAGTTTATCCTAGATATTTACTGAAAGCCAGTGAAATGATTTCATAATGAATATACAACCTGAAAAATGGTAAGATATTGATTAACTTCTTACTAGTTGTTATTCTCAAATATATTATTTATGTTTGTGCCCATATTTCTTGACTTTAATGAGGATTATTGTACATCTTTAAATGACGAAATAATTGATATTGACATTATAAATAGAACCCCATTGTGAATAAGATTTTCAGCATTCACGGGTTATCTTGTCAAGTTATTGGTACTAATATTTGAATTTTATTATTTCACTCTTCGTATGGATGTTAAATTGAACTTGCCTAATACATCAAATCAAATTTTGGTTTAATTCTTGGAGGACCACGGTTGCTACTTTCCCTGAGAAATTCCTTCGTATTCACTGTGCACCCTGTCTAAAAAGCCATTACATTGAAAGCTCTGGGAACTGAAAATGTGACGGATTAGTTGGCTATGATGTGGAGGAGAACAATATATTAACAATAATTAGACCTAGTTTAACCGTCGGAAGTTCTGTTTCTTGACTTAACATCCAAAGTAATGTATTGTGATATCTTTGTAAACGTTTTCTGCATTTCTGTTATAATTGGTAATGTCACTTTCCATATTTCATGTGAATTCGGCAGTTTTCCTTTTCATGATAATAACCGTTTCAATTAGATTCAGTTTTATTAAATCTTACAGATATTCTGATAACCGCATCCGATGGAAAATGTTGTTACGTTAATTTTTTTGTGAAGAACGAAAGTAAATTCTTATGGGTAAACTGGGGCAACTGTTTCGATACAGAGTTGATATCCAGCGCATTTGTGTACATAAGAGATAGGAGATTGTTAACTTGCGATTAATTGGAGGACTTCGCAACTGTTTATAAGATGGGGCCCAGGGAATCTCTATTGTGTTTTTGTACACAGTTTGTAAAGTACCCTAAGCACATTTCTTAAATTTCGTATAGTGCATTTTTTTTCATTCGTTTCTTTTATAGAATTAGAAAATAGTTATAGTAAGTACATTGTATAAATACACTGTAAAAGGTAGCCTATAACCACATGTACATTTTTGTTGTTGTATGCACACGGTATTGTTGATTGACACTGGAAGAGTCCTTTAATGGTTGATAGAGAAAGAGAAAGAAAGAAGTGGACGGAGATAAAGAAATAATAGTGGAGATAAAGGGGCGTGATAAACAAGTGTAGTTTAATACCGTATTTTACTCTTCCAAATATAGTATAGAAAGCAAATAAAAAGTCTCGCTCTATTATCCAGGATTCTAATAAAGTGGATCTCCAACATGATGTATTCGTTATTAAAAGCCTAAATAAGTCGACCTCTATATAAAAGATAAAAAATGATGAATACCGTCAAGAAGTTCAAAGGTGTTTATGCGCTCTGTCGGAAAACTCAATTATATTCAAAGGATGCACAAACTGCATGATATTGACAGCCGATCAATTCAAGTGCTTAATTATGCGTTGAGTCTTTCTTGCTATGACTACTTCTTATTATCAATATTAAAAGAAATTATAAGAAAATAAGTAAAATAAATACAACTAATAGAGTCTCAAGTTTATGTCGTGTCTTGATTTTGTTTAATCTTTCTTTCTTATCGTCCAATACTAGACTATTTGGTTGGAATTCACAATCATGGTTTCACAATACACCATGATCTAACAACCAATTTACCATAAGGGGCCAAAATGGACAAAATAGAGAACATGAAAAAAGACACAGTTGTAAAAACAACAGCAAACCTTTAACAAAAATGTATAACAAAGAAAAAACAAATATCTTAAGGATTTATTTTTAAGAAAACGAGCTATTTTTCTCTGCACACATTCTTTGGCCTTTTTTCGCCGCCCAGAATAGGTTGGTGGTTGTTTCACGATTAAATCCGATTTGTTTATAAATTAAAGCCTTTTTGTTTTCCACTGCTCCCCCCCCTATCTTGGGCATCTTTCTCTCCCCCCTCTCTCTCTCTCTCTCTCTCCATCTCTCTTTTGCTCTCTTTATTCCACTCTTCCTCTCTTTCCTCCCTCATTTGCCCCGTCCCTCCCCATCCCCTTCTCTTTCCCTCTCTTTCCCTCTCTTTCTCCAACCACCCCTCCCCATCTTTCTCTCTACCTCTCTCTATTTCTCTCCTTCTCTCTCTCTCTCTCTCTCTCTCTCCCTGTTTTCTCCTAGACATTTTAAAATTATCTCCCTCTTCCTCTCATATATTTCTAAAGATTGTGGCAGATTTGTTTTGTTGACCAATATAATTATATAGGCAAGGTTCGCTCAAATTTTGCAAAAGCAGTGGGTGGGACGCAACGAAAATTCCAAGGTTCGTTTCCGGAAGCTGGAGAAGAATTTCACATCGTATATAGATTATAATTTAATGATTTACACATCTATCCAATTTTTCCATCTAGTGTCACAATAACAACCCAGATGTGACACTAATAAACGATGTGCATGGGACTAATTTGGTTTGGTATAATTTGCAAATAGGCCCTATGCGCTTGAAAAAGAAAAGGTAATTCCAAAATCAAAATTTTGACCGACAGTTCGTCTTCTGCTCACATGTATAACTTAATGGAGTGTTTTTAGCCAGATTCTGGCGACAAAAGTGTGTGATTTTCGTACATTATGGATTGTATTGTAATACCGACATGCTTCATGATGCCTCCGTTTTTATATTTATCCCTTTGCTCTTCTTTCCATATTTTTTTTGCTGAATTAGATTCTGAGGCAAATGTGCTCTCGTATTTAGCAGGGACCCTCAATATTTGCTTGGGGACTAAGGTGCTCATTGATATTAGTACATAAACACGAGGTTTAGGTATATAAACACTGTTTGTAGAACATGTATGTTTTACTTTGTTTACTATGTTCACAAAACAGTATGTACCAGTTGATTACCTACTATTTATATTGGATGTTCCACTTACAATTATGTAAAAGGAAACATTTTCAAAATTGTTTAAAATGTTCTATTATGACCAATAAAATCACTTAATACAAAAATAATAAAATCCGGTCTGTACAAATTAGTTACTACTTTAAGGTGTAAAAGGCAGGATTTAAAATCACATTTAATCATCATAACACATTTTCTGTATAAAACTTTTCAATTCATGAATGGGTTTGAAGAGATATATATCTCCAGATACATTTCATATTTTTCATGGGCATTGGGAACACCTAAAGAGGTCGTCAGTTTGGATGATTATCTGACAGCCGTTGGAAATGTGACATCACTCCCTATATCTGAAAGGTTGGAAGCAGCAAGACCAGAACAACAAATCTAAACCGATCAATATTGCGAATTGAGAGCTTAGTGTGAAAAACTGAGGCCCGAATTTACAAAGGAGGTTTGTCGACAAACCTTGGTTTTCGTGCGTCATATGACGCGCTTCGACGCGTTTTTACAAACCAGGTTTGTAAAAGAAAACGCGTCAAAACGCGTCATATGACGTACATAAACCTCGGTTTGTCGACAAACCTCCTTTGTGAATTCGGGCCTGAAGGTTTGTTTCCCTAGCTATGAATAACTGACGGTCCAGCGTGGTTGACGAGCAAGGAGATAAACTGTTTGCTCCCACATATGTTATTTTGTCTCTGATCTATTTTTTCCGTTTAATTTTTTCCCATATCGATTACTAGTATTTGTATGTTCTGTTGACGTAATTGCTCGACTTATCTGAAAAACAACTTTTTTTCTTGCAAATGGCAGCGTAACCATACACACCACCCCTCCCCATTCAAACTTATCAGTTTAAAATATGTATAAATATATGATAAACATTTCATATATTATGCTAGTGCGTGGAAATGAATTAATGGACTTGGGTCATACAGCTTTATAGTCAAATATTGATACATCGCCATACAAGTGAGGTATAAAGCATGACAGCATTTTCAACTTTCAAAATCGTTATTTTTTACGCTTTTTACCCAAGGGAAAAAAGAAGGAAGCTCTAGCTGTAACCAATCAATTCGTATTTTGTCAGAGTGTTGAAAGCATTAGTTTGCACTTTCTTCCTATATTCGGGAGCAATGTTGACAACGTCCTGATGAAATTTCGAGCCTTGGAAACAAGGGTTATAATTTCTTCGAATGTTACACCCCTGTCATCAATGCACTATATCTTACATATTAAAGGGAAGGAGGGCAAAGTCTTGAAACAAACATTAAGTAAGGGAGCAAAGCGAACGAGTTATAGAATAGCTTCGCATTTTAAACCCTTGAAAACACTATTCTATCATGCATGTTGCACTGTATTGGGAATTCATATAATCTTTCAGGACTATGTTTTTCCCCTTTTTGCCTTATTCTTTCTCTTGTTTGCGATTGTTGTCATCCATTCAAGTGCCCCTAGGTGCAAATGCCCCCTACTCCTAGATATGCCACTTGACATAATTTTGTTCCTACAACATCTTTAATCTGCATTTTTATACAAAAGAATGTTACGTTCACAAAATCGTTCAAACATGGGGAGGGGGGGGGGGGGACTCAGATTTAGTTTGGACAAGGGTGTGTCGCTCAAGCCTCGGAACCACTACCCATTATTAGGGGTCATT